TAAATGTTTTATGAGCTAAAATAATTCAATATATTTATAGCAACAACGCAATTAGTTATTTTGTTTACGTAATTCGCCTAAAATAAAGCAAGCGTGCCTTTTTTATTTTATTGTGTGATCTCATTTACATAAATCGATACTTCTTTAATCGATTTACTAGTAAATGCTTAAAAATCTTGTTTTTCTTATTACACAGTTTCCAGAAAGAAAAATAGGCTGATTTTTTGTAGTTTAGTATGGAAAAATATGACCATTTTTTTAGACCATATATCAACTAGTTACATTTAGGGCCCAAAAGTTTCAGTCTCCTTTATTAAGAAGGCGCATCAGGCGAAGCCACGGTCTCAAACTAGTGTTAATAAGTCATTAAAATTCCAGCTCGCCCACCTATCAATTTATTTTTACTATCAATTTAAACACATTATGTGCAGTTTTGTAGAATGTATAAATTGCAATTTATAGTGATAAAAAACAAGTTGCAAAGTTAATTTATAACTGCAAGAGTAAACTAATAACCGTATTTTGTATCAGAGAAGTGCGAAAATCTTATTTTTTGTGAATTTTTTAGATCGTAGGCACTTTAGAATGATAGCTTGATAGCGAGATAACGAACTGATAAATTAATTTAAAATTTTAAATTAATCTTAAATACATTTGTTTATTTACAGATTTCAAAAGTTCTTTTTTTTTATATATATTTTGTAAACTTTTTTGATTGGTTTCGAAAAATTCAATATTTATTTCTACTTTTTAGTGCACATTTTAAATTTCGTTTTTCGTTTTTCTGCTGACCGTACCGGAAGACGTGTGTAAGTCCTTATTGTGACCATTTCCGCCATATTGCCGGCGCCCGCGCACCGAATCCAAATAATTTCGGCGTTTTCAAGATTGTTGGCAATATTGTATCAAGCACATCAAGCTTTACACTGTAGCATCTTTATGTAGTTGTGATAGATACGATTTTGCAACTTAAATGTATAGTTGATGTGCTGTCGATTTTTTTTTGTAGCAATGCTCTAATATTGTAAGGAGAGACAAGGTGTGTTATTTGTATGAATTTAGTACGATTAAGTATAATTTATTGCTTTGTTTGAATAGAAAGTACTTAGAAAAGGTTAAGAATTCCGATTTTATTTGATTCCGAAGTGGGTAAGTAATTTTAAACATAATAAATATGCTCGGCTCTAAATATATTTGCCAGGTTTGTAGAGAATGGGATCTGATATAAATGTAACAGCTTTTGCAAAAAAAAAATAGGGTCTAAATGTGTGTCAATAGGTATTTACTGTTCGGTTTGGTTGGTGGTAGGGCTTGTTCTAAGTCTGCCTGGCTAGCTACCACCATCTTACCTAAGTCTGTCGCCATAACAACAATGTTAACAGCATTGTTGTGTTCCGGCAGTTAGAGGTAAGATAGCCAGTTCCTCCGTGGTTGAGGATTCCGGGTGAAGCTCGCTTCCACCTTCGGCCTGATCGTCACTTACCATCAGGTGAGATACAGGCCAAGAGCTTCCTCGTTGTGGATAAAAAAAAATTAAATTTTACTTTTCTGATTGTAACAATAATGCAGTGCGATTCTTGTCAGTCTCTACATTATTAAGTTTTAAAATTTTCTACCACACTTTGTTTTAAAGTATGTATAGTAACTTGTAATAGGGTCACTGTCTTAGTTCTCTACCATAAGTTTATGCTCTATCTATGATACTCATACAAAAATATTAATTCTGTTCTTGTAGCTTGTTTTTTTTACACAAAATAAGAGTTTTCTACACCATAAAATAAGTTTACTAGAGTCCATTTTATTTTCAAAACAATCAAAAGCGACATTAGAGTGCATGCTGCAAATTATTGTTTATTATTGATTGTGCCTATAATTTCACGGCGTGTAACCCCAAATATTGGCTGGCATTTTCAATTACAATTAATTTTGCTTTGTAATGATTTCCGATAGTCATTGGCATCGCATGACAAAACTGACGGTTGGTTCTGATATAATTAGATATTGCGCGTGGCGGTCGGTAACATATTGATTTAGGTTATTAACAGTAATGATGTGTGGCATGTGGCATATGGTAAAAGGAATTGAATTATGGTGATAGATTGTTTTATAACTATATTTTTTTGCAATTCGCCGTAGTCCTAATTCAACAACACTATACCTATACTAGTTTTTTGGTTTGGTGCTAAAACCTTTTAGCGTTCATTAATTTCAGCCAAATGACGTCCACTGCTGGACAAAAGCCCCCATGGATTTCCACAAACTTTTAATGGGTTTCAAAAACTTAAGGCTACAAGTCTGATCACTCAGTCTACAGACTACAGTAGGTAGGTACCTACATCAACTAAAAACTATTACATCTTGTTGTTCACCCATTACACGTAGATACTGCTATTTAAAATGTTATCCAAGTCGGAATTGGTGATGACTGTACCTACTTTATGATTTGCCATAGCACATTACAATTATTTTGGTTCGGATCCGGAAGACCAAATTCATTGAAGCATTTCACTGAAATTCAACTGAAAATTAGCAAAATACTTAATGCTAAAATTATAATAAAATGTACGTTAAATCTTATTGTTATACAGACTGGTAAAGAAAATAGGAAGAACGTTTAACACAAAAAACAATAAATACCTACGCTTCTTTATTCAATCTCAAAAAACAAAAATAACTGCGAATCGTGATCATTACCGCACTGGAATTGATTGCCAGGTAAAAGTGATGTCATCGCTTGTATAAATCATTAGAGGTCACCCGCGATACTGTCATGTTATGATTTGAAATAACTGACCAATGGAGTCAATTCCTTTAATCATCTTTCATTATCAACATCATGATCGTCATTTCAGCCACAGGACGTCCACTGCTGAACATAGGCCTCTCCCAATGACTTCCACATCGCCCGGTTGGTAGCGGCCTGCAATCTGCATCCAGCGCCATAGGTTCTTTACTTGTCCATATTTTCTCCTGAAAAAATGATTGATATTTACTTACACAATTTCGCTTTCACAATTTTGTTTAGTTAGTACATTATCATTTTATTATTTACTTGCGAGTATTTTTAGTTCATGAGTATTCCTGCAAATGCATCAATCGTAGCCTAGCCAAATCTATCCTATGCAGGCGTTTTTATGGTAAAATAAGAATATTCCCCAAGTGATCAGCTTTGCAACAACTAACTGCACCCATGGCTATTTGGAACAAAAAAAATGCTCACTTGGAATTCAGTTCAAGTGTAGGTACATCCCTAAAGATATTCCTCAATACAACCCGCAAGAGGTTTTACTTCTGTGCGGTTTCTCTCAACCGTTTACAACTTACGCGGCCCGACAATCAGTGCTTTTGGTTCCAAAGTAGCTTTTTAAGCTCGCCTTAACCAATGGGCTACCTGTGTTACGTCCACCATACAATTTATGGTAATGATTTTTACTAGCGCGCCCTTTAGAACAATAGGTTGTAAAAGGGCCTCGGATTTTTTGAGACGTACCGACTGACAAGGATTTTAGCGTAACGCAACTACGTCTTAATGTGAGGGTGTTGGGCCGAACAAATGGTTCGTAAAGTAATAAGCACCTTTGATGTTTTACACAAGTTATTTATTGAAATGCTCAGACCATGAGTGTTGTTTCAAGCCATTGGGAATTTGTGCTTCGTTAGTTTTTAATTGTAGGGTAGATAATGAAGATATCTGGAAATTAAGTATCTTAACCATCGTAACAGAGCTGCATGTTACGATGGTTAAGATGGTACTTTAGTCTCTAGGAATTTTCGTAGGAATTATGTATTTTGTCAGTTTTCAATGATTCCAAAAATCAACAGTATGTAGTAATGGACTCCAAATTATTGGCAGAATAAGTAGGTTTGAATTGTGTGTATTTAAGGGGAGTAGAGTTCATCCACTGATAGCATCATAAAGCAGTAACTTACTCCTAGAATAAGAATCTGTGGGCAAATCCAAGAGACGAGGCTAGAGGAGGCCAATTTTGTCCCGGGGGAAAGTTAAACTGTCATTGGACCCGCAAAAAAATTAATCAGAAGAACTCCTATGTTCGAAGTTAGGGTTCGACTTCCCTCCAGTGCAAAGCGTGGAGAACATGACAAAACTAAAGTTGTGCCCTATTATAATTTTGCTCAAAGACGATTATTGGACTAGGTAGGTCATGTAGTTCTATGCGATTATTTCTTTTGTTTCAACGGATGACGATCGCACCCGTACCATAAATCAAGCGAGCCTAATTAAAAAGTACTAAAATATACCTTGAATAGGTCATAAAAAGTTCAGATCCAAAAAAGGGCTTCAGTAAAAAACTTGACTGATCGCCATCTGATAAAAGATTTCAAAGTTCCGAAAGGAACAGGTAGAAATATTGTCAATCGGTAATTTGTTACTATCGGCAAAAAGATTGGGTTAATTTAAGCACAAAGAGGATACTTATCAGATGGAAAAAATATTTAGATTTAATTACCTATTTGAAGATGATTTTTTCTTGGCTGCCTTCTGTCACTGATTTTCTTCTTCTTTTTTAACGAAATTGTGTATTCCTAGTCACATGTCCCATAGCCCTTGATAGATCTTCCTTTGGGAATTGAGACAAAATTAACATCATAGTACCTACTACCAGTACTACTTACTTACTAATTATAATCTGATGCTCCTCCTGACCATAGTTACACGTGGAAACTTGGCTAGATTACCTTTTATCATCATCAAATCATTAGCATTATTCATAATAGGTACTCACGAATTACCTACATAAAAATAGAAGCAATTTGAGGCTCCAGCCCCAATGTCAATATGACGCGCTATTCAAGTCTTACACAATCATTATCACCAGAGATAACGGCGTCATCCAAAAATAAATCACTGGCCACTACCAACCCTGACTTATTGAATCGTCACATGAATAGAAAAGTAGTTTACGCGCCAATTCTTCGGTCCCCTTTACTTCACCTGTGTTCGGAGACTGGCAAAAAGCGTCCTTGGCTCCATTGTTAATGGATTCGCGTTCGCGCCAAGTGCCGAAATGTGCGCACGCGGCGGCCGCGATGCGCGGGAAACGCTCAGTCGTAATCGACGAGAGCGCGCGCGAGCACGCGGCCACGCCACCGCGCGCATTTTAGGTTAGAGTTGGCGCGTTTTGCCCATCCGCCAGGTGCGAAACGACATAGTCGCCCCCGCTCGCACGCATCACCGCCCGCATCCTCCCTCTCGCTCCCTACCTGCACATAACAGCTGTTTTCTCCGGAGATTAGTCAGATGTTTCTCGCGAACCAGTCGAGGCTCACCTGACACATTGCTATGGCCGCCGGAGGTCGCACACCCAAGCAGAGAAGACTAGAGATGTCCGTCGGCATGGCAGCCTTGAGGAACGTGTCCAACACGCCGAGGAGGCGTCGCGGAAGCTGCAAGTGTTTGTTTGGCGCGCCCGACCGCGACGAGACGAATCGCCTGATGCAGGAACAGTACGCGAGAGAAAGGAAGCGGTTCATCAGGAGATTCAACTTCGACATCGAGACGGAGTGCCCGTTCAAAGCCGCCAAATTGGACTCGCCAGTGAAGTTCTGTGATGAGGATAAGGAGAACTCGAGGAGTCCCATCAGATCGGCCGCGGAAGCGTTGGCGTGTGTTGGGAACACAGACCTGAGGGTGTTGGGGTCTCCTTCCAGGAGGACCGGGAGTGCTGGCAGCTCTCCCCGCACCCCGCGCACCCCCCGCACGCCGAGGGCAGCCCGGACCCCGCGCACCCCTCGAACTCCCGCCTCCAGAAGACAATTGCAAATGACTGGTGAGTTATTTTCGAATATTAATAAATTATTCATGAGCCATATTTAAGCGCCAATTTATCATAGGTGCAAGCAACTTGCAGCTCATTTCCTCGTAGCAACCTGATCTGTTGCACTTTGCATTTTGAATTCATAAATCACTTTGCATATTTTTACAATGTGCCGTGATGTGACTATTGTGTTAGATACTACGGGTTCACAATCGGTTACCTGTGTTGTTGTTTGCCCAAGTGGGGCACAATAGGCTCCTTAAAGTGGGCCAAGCAAGTTTATCGAATACAGCCTGTTCAAACATTGTAAGCATTTATATTCTGTCTTTAGTTTGTAGTGTGTTTGGTTGGATTAAGAACTTCTTGAATTATGTTCCTTTTTTGCGGCTTCATCACATTTTGGTTTACTGCGTGCTCATCTTTAAAATATTATTCTTTAATAGGATTGAATAATCTGTAATCATTTTTGAAGCAGTAAAACCGCACGCTTAAGGCCGTAAAATGCAGCAACTACTTTTAACTCTTCGTAGAGTTCATTGTAGATCTATTTTATTGAATCAATCACTCATGACTTTACAGCATTTACGCAAGTCTCTATTCAATTCCTTATAACAATGTTATTCAACCATTGCTTTCTCTATCTTAAAGTACATCTAATCGGAATATGACCGATGGTGCTATCCATTTGTTCATGGTTTAAGAGTTCAACGACCGCTTACGTCATCTAAGGTCCGACCATTACACTTTTTTTACACCACAAAGTTCCTTCCTCCCAAACTTATTCTGTTCAGAGCATCCTCATCTAATTTAAACCTTATTGTTAGAGCCATTGTGCTTTCATTCGTCACCGGAAAAATCGTCAGGATTAATAACGTAATACATTATTTATATTCTGGCTTATGTTTTGAAAACAAGAACTTACTATGAATCATTCTGAACCTATAATTACGCTTCTTTGTTTGGAGCTTTCGTCAACCATTTTTTTGGCTCTACATTAAAATTTATCGGCTTAGATAACAAGAAATTTAGCTCCTTAATATCGTAAAGCAAATATTTTAATAGCCGGTCACATTTTGAAAATAATTGGTGTTATCGACGAGCAAATTTTGCCATTCAGAGACCCAATTTGAAATGTATACCTAAATATTTACTATGATAACGATAGCTATAGTAGGTTGCACGATGCATCCGATAGGCAGTCCAAACAAATATTCTGGGTAGGGTTGTCAGGTGTCCGGCTTTGGTCGGACTTGTTCGGCCAAATATTCTCTTGTCCGGCCTGTCCGGCTTTTTATGCGCCAGTCAAAAGTCGAGCCACAGTATAATATCGAGCACACAAATGGGCATAGGATGTGTGGATGGGTTATAGTCATAACTTCATGAGGTATGATACTAATTGCACCCCCCGTGTCATGCTTAAGAAAATGAATGTCCGGCTTTAAGGGTTAAATGTCCGGCCAAATTAATCACTGAGTCCGGCTTTTGTTTTTTTGGCAACCCTAAGTCTAGGTGTTGTATGGGTGCGGCTACTTGACCCGAATATCCTCGCTAAACAAACATTGCTGTTGCATGATTTGGACAAACAATTTATACTGTTTCCAACAGGACAAAACTTGTAAAATTGCGGAAAACCAGGAAAACTGAGCGTAATAATTCCCCAAAAAAATTAACTTTTCCTCATAAAGATTTTAGGAATGGAACTTTTTTATAAGACGGGGAATAACGTAATAGATTCTTCCTTCTCAGTAACAGAGTAAGGTTTTATAGCCATCTACTTAGATTAAGTTTCAATGAAATTGCGGTTAGCTTCTAATTACTTAAGTAAGTAACCGTTAGAGTATACCAAAATGGATTAACTCCCAATTCTCTCACTAACATGAAAGAAACCCCCCTTTTTCATCTGCAGTCATCCATTTCATCATTTTTCTCGAATAGTAGAGTGCCTAAGCTCTATGTCATTAACAATTCTTTTCATTGCACCAATAAGGTGTTGATCTACTCTAGTAGAGATATTTATTTAACCGCCTCTGTGGTCTAGTGGTAAGACCACCTGCTTCAGACGCAGAGGTCCCGGGTTCGATTCCCAGTGGGGGCAGATTTTTCTGTTCGGTTTGGTTGGTGGTAGGGCTTGTTCTAAGTCCGACTGGCTAGCTACTACCATCTTACCTAAGCCTGTTGCCATAACAACAATGTTAACAGCATTGAGTTAGGTAAGATAGCAAGTTCCTCCGCGGTTGAGGATTCCGGGTGAAGCTCGCTTTCACCTTCGGCCTGATCATCACTTACCATCAGGTGAGAGACAGGCCCAGAGCTTCCACGTTGTGAGTTGTGGATAAAAAAAACCATAAAACGATTGTTATCAATGAACTAACACAATGTTGGAATGTTTGCTACACTTCCTAGCATTAAATTTAAAACACTGGACATTGGACGGTTAAGTAGCCCATCTGGGCCTCTTATTATTGACGTAACCACTAAATAGATATGACCACACCTGACCTGCGTGTGCGCATGACTCATTGCTTCGGGATCAATTTCATCTGGTGAATGCCAATTATGGCATTCTGCTGTATAATCACTCCTCACTTTAATTATATCTATCTCTATAATATCTTCTAGATCATCTACTCCATTGTTTTTATTAACCGTCTTCAAAAAGGAGGAGATTCTATGTTCGGCTGTATGTATTTTGTCTGATAGATTTTCGTGCTGTTGCATTTCTTCAATACCTTCTTTAAGACCAAAAAAGCCAATATAGTCGGCGATTCTTTTAGCTATTACATTTTAACTTAAAATGCTTGGTCTTCTTATACCAGTTCTGACAAAGTAAACAGAGCGATTTCATGTCATTATGTTAGTTTTTGTTTTCCTTCAAGTTTATCTGGGGGCACGGCAGTGCCCCCGCCAAGTCGAGCGCGAAGCAAACACTGCCGTACCATCCTTTACTGGAACCATTTCGCCGCATTTTCAGGCCCCTATTTGAGAACCTCTGGATAAGACCAGAACGCAGAAATTTTCGTCATCTAGTAAGCTATAATCACATACTTAAAATCCAAAATTTCAAGTCTGTAGGTCATTTAGTTCCGAAGTTAAGCGAAAGCAAAGTTTCGCATTTATGACACTCACTCACTCACTCACTCACTGATGATCATCAAAATAGAACTAGTACTTCCCATAAACTCAGAGAGCTGAAATTTGGTACAGAGTTAGGGTTTAATGGCCACATAAAGGGAAAACTATAAAAACTAGGAAAGTCGAAGACCTGGAGTAACACAACATTCATAATCAATACTACTAGCGCCACACCGGCACCGTGGTGTTCGCCTGTACCGCTCACCGCTAGGTGGCGCTAGCACTTCGAGCGTCGATTTTCTGCACCGCGGTGTCCAGATAGATGGCGCTAGCACTTTGAGCGTCGATTTTCTGCACCGCGGCGCCCAGATTTTTTTTCCTTTCTAGACCCCCCCGTCGATTAAGTTGAATGTTGTGTAATTTGAATTTGGTTGATTTCGTTTATTATATCGTGAGGTTCGCTAAGGTTAAGTTATTATTAAAACAATTATTAAAAAACTAGCCAAGTCTCGATGGAGCTGCTTGTTTATCTCTAAAAAGTAATGAAATCTAGACAAAGTCGTGCCAAGTCTATGGTTCTTTACTGCGATTTCTTTATTATTATAGTTAATGTTGTGTGACTTGGCCGTTGAACAATCTTTATTAAGATAATCAATAATCATGCATAAGTATTATTGAAATACGCAGCTTTATTAAACCTAAAATGACTGGTTATTAAATTAACGTTTTCCAAGTGGCAATATTCCATCGTCAATGGGTAGCGGTTCTGGCAACAGATTGGTGCAATGGTGTCATGGAGCACCTGGTTTTGTACCTTTGAACGGCCAAGTCACACAACATTAACTATAATAATAAAGAAATCGCAGTAAAGAACCATAGACTTGGCACGACTTTGTCTAGATTTCATTACTTTTTAGAGATAAACAAGCAGCTCCATCGAGACTTGGCTAGTTTTTTACAGAATGTTTTTGGTGGGATATGTTTTATCATCAAATCATGGTATCTAATTGTAATTGTAGAAAAGGGTTACTAACAAAAATAACAATAGTAAACTTACCGCCTCAAAACTCAACCAGAATGATTAAGTAGGTGACAAATGGCGGACATAAAAAATAGTAAAGCATTTTTTATAACTTATTCGAAGTACAAACACAATGGAACAATACAAGGAAGTAGACAGATAGACTGGCAGCGAACCGATTTGTCTGAATCGATAACGTAGTCTAGAAATGGCGTAACTTCGCTAGATGTAGCGTTTGTGATAATATGGTCACATTCTTCGCCTAATGCTTCAATCACACCAACGCGTGCGGATCGCCATCGCGACGCGATCACGGCGCGATCGTAGGGAAATGACAGGTCGCGTGAACTGTCATTGGTGTTTGATGAAGAAGCCATTTTTATCCACTACAGGTCGTGCACGATACTTTTAATTTAACAGGCAAATATAGAATTAGGCCTACACTTCCCACATTTTGGCCAGAGACTTTAGAGAGAATTGAAGATCGCATTGTCAATTTTGCAAAAAAATAATAATTTAAACATACTAAAATACTGAATTTTACAGTAACTAAACTGAAAACTCTTTCAAAGCTTCCCTACGCGTGACGTAGAATTTCCTATGTATGTGATATAAAATGTTCCCCGGTCGGTTTGTAATATAATAAAATATTAAAAATGGAAATAAGTAGAACCAATTCACAAAACTTGAAAGCTTTCTCCAAAAAAAGTTACCGCTAAGCCCGGCGAAAACTTTCAAAATTGAGTCCTTAGGGCACGTTTACTGTCTATGGCATCCCAAAGGAAGTCACGAATATCCTCCTTGAAAATAAATAACGATTTTGTGGTTACCGAAAAAATGCCGAGAACGAATGAACGGCCGACTATACACGCTTATGTAGTATGAGAGAGCTTTATGTTAAATTAACGAATTATAATGT